TAGCCAAGGAATGGCTATATTTCTGTTTGGAGAGGGAGGTGAGGTGTAGAAGATAGGCCGAAGGGTTATGTTCAAGAGGGCAAACCTTCACAGTTCAGGGTCCCACTCTCTCTCTTTCTCTCTCTCCATCATCTCTCTCTCTCTCTCTCTCTCTCTCTGTCTCACCATTTCTTTTTCCAGGAAATCTGTACCTGTCTATCTCCCTCTCTTCCTAAACTTTCAGGTGCGGCCATGGTAACATGCAAATTCAACTTAGATTATGCAAGACTGTTGTAGACCTTAAAGTCATTTAAACCCAAAAGCAAACATTTATTATATTGCAGCTTACCAATTTTTAGATGTGATGGCTGCATTAGTTTCTTTTTTAGTCTTTCCTTCCTTTATTTTCTCCTACTGATCGGGCAGGGAGGCTTACAATGATCAGATTTATTTATATAAAACCTTCATCCCAAAAGGAAAAAAAAATGTTGCTGCAACTGCTTATAAAGTGTTAGCTGGAGTTCAGCTTTAATTTGTTAGTGTATCTCTATCTGATAGCATATCTAACAATGCCCCCCCCCACCCCCCAGATTAACAAGGCCATTGACCAAAGGTATCCCGGTGCTCCTTCATCCAGGGTGGAGGCACTCTAATACAGGAGGTGTGTTACTGGTCATATTAATAGGTGAAAACAGAGGGGAAAAGTCTAAAAAATACAACTAATAAACTAATTCAATCACTTCCAATGATTGGTAAGCTGCAATATAATCCATTTTTGGTTTTGGGTTTAACACCACTTTAATGAGACAATAAAGGCTTTTAGAAAGGTGAATGAGCATCTTAAATTGAATCTACAGCCAAAACTTTTTTAACCTTTAAATAAAATGCAAGAGTTAGAACCCCTGTCAGATGTTCTCACTGGAGAGATTCACTTTCTCTATGTATCTTGGGTATCCTGCTAAGGCAGGAATCCTGATATGTGGACAGTTCAGAGGAGTGAATGAGGTTTATTAAGGGTAAATAGATTTTTTCACTTTGCAAGGGAAACTGCACTTTTTTCCCAGAGCATAGTGTATGTGGCGAAATTTCACTTTGCAAAGAATATCCAATCGTGCTAAAGCAAAATTGAAAAAGTGCATTTTGCTTGCTTGATTAGACGATGGACATCAGCAGAGTTTCAACTCATTCACTAAGCTCTGGAGAAATTTCCCATGCAAAGTGCAAATTTCCTTGCAAAGTGAACAGCCTATTTGCTTTTAGCAAATCAACCCCCATGTGTCCATATTTTCATTCTGAAAGTGGAACTTTGTTTTCATTTTAATACAGTTATTATACACACAACCCTGGTAAATACCATCTCTATGCTGATGACACACAAATCTATCTTTCTACCCCTCACCTCACCCCTTCAGTCTCCTCTCGCATTACTAACCTACTAAGTGACATATGGGCGTGGATGTCACTCCTCTTCCTCAAACTGAATCTTTCCAAAACTGAGCTCTTAGTGTTCCCTCCAGCCCGTGCCCCCTCCCCCGACTTCTCCATCAAGATCAATAATACAACCATCAGTCCCTCCCCTTATGCCAGGGTGCTAGGCGAAATCCTAGACTCCCATCTGTCCTTTCAGCCCCAAATCCAACCACTGTCCAAATCTTGTAGACTTCACCTCCGCAACATCTCCAAGATACGCCCGTTCTTAACCTCGGAAACCACTAAGCAACTTATTCACTCCCTTGTTATATCTGACCTTGACTATTGTAACTCCCTCCTCATTGGCCTACCTAATCGCAGGCTATCCTCTCTTCAGTCTATTATGAATGCTGCTGCCAGGATCATCCACCTTACTAACCGTTCCATGTCTGCCTTCCCTATCTGCCAATCCCGCAACTGGCTTCCCATTGCCCAACGAGTAAAATTCAAAACATTAACAATAACGTATAAAGCCATTTAGAACTCTGCCCCAAATTACATTACCAATCTTGTCTCCAAATATCACCCAAACCATTCTCTCCGCTCCTCCCACGACCTCCTGCTCTCTAGATCCCTTGTGTCCTCCTCCCATGCTCATCTCCAAAACTTCTCCAGAGCCTCCCCCATCCTCTGGAACTCTCTACCCCAATTTATTAGACTATCGCCTACTCTGCCCACTTTTAAGCGATTTGTGAAAACCTATCTCTTCAGGGAAGCCTATCCTGCCCTCAGCTAATAATGGAATATTCTATTCCTTCTACCAGTCCATCCCCCACAGTTATTAATTTTTGTACCACCAGCCCCTCCCTCTTAGATTGTAAGCTCCCAGGATCAGGCCCTCCTATCCCTCTTGTATTGAACTGTGTTGTTGCTGTATTGTCTCCCATTATATTGTAAAGCGCTGAGCAAACTGTTGGCGATATATAAATCCTGTATAATAATAATAATAATTGAGCGCTAAGTATTCTGTGGCTTTGCAGCCTCTTGTGGTCATGTTCCATAGTGCACCCACAAGGTCCTTCAACAAACAACTCCATACTGCCAATATCAACTGTGCATCTTCCTTTGCAGTATTTCTTTTGAGAATCCTAGTAAGCAGACTGCTAATCTAAAAGCTGCAAAGAACATGTGCTTAGTACAGCCTAAGCTGGCAACAAATTTAAGGCCAGTAATTTATAATCAAGCTTGATGAGTCCAAGCTGATTGTCTTTGGACAGTGGATGATGCGTTAGATTGAAACACACAGAGAATCACAAAGATAACCTGCCATTTATAACATTTTATTGTAGATTCAAGAGGTTTTTATGTCTAGAATCAAGAAAAAAATTATGACATTTTACAAGAAATTTAAAATGAAGACCTTCTTGAAAAATGTGCTTTCCGTTAAGCTGATCTCATGGTTTAATAAAGTTGAGAGGTGGGTGGTCAGGGAACAGCATATAGCAGGAGAAGATAGAGGTGCTGCTTGAGGAAAAGAGAAACAATAGTTTTGACTATTGCAAAAAAAATGATATTCCGTGTTTAAACTATAATGGAAAATTGAATTAGGCATTTATTTATTTGTGTTTTGACCTAGCTTTCATCAATCCTACAAGAAAGCAGATTTATTTTATGCAGTGGTATAAGTATGAGAGAGCAGGAAGTATGGAAATATGGAGTGAAGGGGCTGATAACACAACATGAGGGTCTCAGGGACAGTACAGCAGGGAGTTATTCAAATACATTAGTGCATGGAACCCCAGGATTCCTTTAGAGGTTGATGGGGGTTCTTCGAGTAAAGAGCAATGTCTACCTATTAGATAAGTAACCACTGAAGCCAATGTTCTTTTTTTTAGCTATCTGTAGGGAGAATTTTTACTGTCCACAAATGTAAGGAGCATATCAAGGCGGCAGGAAAAATGGACAGAATTTAAGGATGCATCACTAGAAGGGTCACCAGCAGGAGGAAGGAGGTTCTGATTCCTCTATATAGATCTTTAGTGAGACCTCATTTAGAATGCTGTGTTTACTACTGGAGACCTCAGTTACAAAAAGATATTGATAAGACAGAACGAGTCCATAGAAGGGCAAAAAAAATGGTGAACGATCTGAGGGATAAAACATCAAGAGGGACTTAAGAAACATAATATACAGTCTAGTGGAAAAAAGGGAAAAAGGAGACATGACTGAAACCTTTAAATACATCAAGGGGTGAATAAGGTTCAAAATAATTTTCAGTATGAAACCAAGATCCAGAACATAGGGACATGGCCTCAAAATAACTGAAGGAAAGTTCAAAACTAATCTTAGAAAGTATTATTTTACTGAAAAGGTAGTTGATGTTTGGAATAGACCTCCAGCAGAGGTAGAGAGTCAGTCAATAGTAAGTGGCTTCAAACATGCTTGGGATAAACATAGGTCTATAAATTAACAACAGTTCCTTTAAATATGAATACTGTATCAGCTGCAAACAGCACTAGAAGCACACCTAAAACCTAGGCAGAGTTGTTATGTCCCTAACCTAAGTACTGGACAAGTTACGCCATTACAAGAAAGATTTTGAACCCAACTTTTTGATATGAGCCTATCCAAAACTACTCTACATAGTAGACAAGCCTAATCTACACACATCCTCTAGTATGCAATTTATGGACAGAGCCTCCAAGTCTAACAAGTAAATATACAATCAAAACACTTATATGTTGCTGCTGGTCTAGTGGGCAAAGTGCCCTCACAGCTACCTGGCCTTGGTTTTTTGATACCTGCATTCACTCACCTGGACTCACCAATCTCTTCTTTCTCATGCACTTGCCGTATTGGTTGAGGTAGGGCCCTTCTGGGGTCTTATACCATTATTTTTGGTTGATATAATGCTAGTGTGCATTTTTGATTATTGTCAGCTTTACACTACATACTATCTTTGCTGCACTATTCTTATGTATGTGTGTTTTTCTTCCTATGCAAATGCATGGAAAAAACGTTTTCTATAAATGAAGGTTACATAAAAAAATAAATACTTATATATGTTGTCAGGAAGAGAAAACTGCTGCTTAGGGTTAGAGGGATTATACACTTGTAGTCTGAAGACAGGGTCCAGCGTGTCCATAGGTTAAGGGCAAGCATCCTCAGGTTGAACTGTTCAGTGGTACTTGCTTACCCCAGGTCCTACTGCTCAGCAGACCCCTTCTTCAAGGCAGGAAACTGGAGCCTAGGAGTCCATTTTCATAAAACTGGAGAGCAGAAAATGGAAACAAAAATGTCAACATTGATAAAGTGTTACTTTATTGTCATCGCCAGTCTGAACTGACTTATACAGTCAAAATAACAGTAAAATGGCACCTTTACTGCATTGAAATACCCACTGATGATTAAACATTAACATAAAACAAGGTAATAAAATACAGACAACAAAATACTGCATGGATTATGCTGAGGTGAACTGAGGATATTGTGGAAGAATAGAGATACAAGAATCATCCAAATATGGTGTGATGGAGACAGAACAATGCATCCAATCAATTTTGAAACACATTTTTACATATTCTTTCATCTCTCATTATTTCTGTTTTTAGGTGAACCTACTTATCCTGCTGGTCACTCTCCACAAGATGCTTCGCTCCTCCTCTGTCCTGAAGCCAGACTCCAGCCGCTTGGAGAACATCAAGTAAGGATTTTCAGTAACACACTAATCCCCATCATCACATACAGTATATAAGAACAGTTATCTACAGGCGGCTTTAGCAAACCCCCCATCTGTCTATATTCTTGACTTTTGACCAAATAGCATAACTTTCAGATGTAATGGTTATTATCAGAGTCCATTTGTTTTCTCTAATTATGGAAAACTCAGGGAGTTATGTGAAAATGATTATAAATGTTCTGATTTTAACCTGAGGGATGAATAATGTTCTTGGGCTCTTCCGGTACTGTGTCTTACCTTCAAATAAACCTGATATTTATTTATGAACTTATTTTTTCCTATTTCAGGTCATGGGCCTTAGGGGCAGTTACCCTACTCTTCCTCCTCGGTCTCACCTGGGCTTTTGGTCTCCTGTTCATCAATAAAGAGTCTTTGGTCCTGGCGTATCTCTTTACGACCTTCAATGCCTTGCAGGGCCTCTTCATCTTCATCTTCCACTGTGCTCTCCAGAAGAAGGTTAGCATGCAACCCGTAGATCTGGTAGCGTGTCTTGCCGCGAGCCTCACTAATAACAGAGGCCTAGCAGAAGGCTACACCACTGCAATTATGCTCTGTGGAAATCTCAAGAACACCTACACAGGGAAATCATTGACCTGTATGCACTTCATCATCTCCTGTAGAGCTTCTCAACACAAAGCAACATCTTGTCAGAGCTTGACACAGCAGTGATCAACCCCAGTATGCCTTGCTACACAGGAATTGAACATTCCTGACTCCACCACAAAGACAATACCAGGCAAAATCTGATGTATATTTAAGTCACGATACACATTATTATACAAAACTTTGTTTCAGAATGGCACCTTTCATGATTAAATATCTGGTGCTTTCTGTCTGTCTCCAATACATCAAGAACATTGTGCTAGTGCCAGTGTTTCTCTATGACTCCCCGCAGAAGGCCTGTCAGTCACTGTAAATTGTCTCTTCGTTACCCGGCCCCATTTTTCTCATTTCCTCTATAATTACAGGCACATAAAATGCTTTTTTAAATGTAAGAACATGGTCTCGAGCTGAAAAAAAGCATATTTTCTACAGTACATTAACTTATTATTCTACATATGTAAATTAGATTTGGAATCCATCCGCTTCTCCCACAAAACAGTAGGCAACCCATATCACATTATGGGGAAAACGGAGCTAATATCAGCTCTAATAAATATTCTGGTGCTAATTGCAACATCATTTAACCTTTGCAGGCTAACATTTGCTTTTCATTTTTACTGTAATAGGACTAATCTAAAATCTTTGCTGCCGTAAAGAAAAAAAACAGTGCAATAGCTATCAAGTCTGCTGTGGTTTACAGTCTAAATGATTTCCAACTACCTAATTATAATAATATTTTAATCAGTTTTTTAGGCGTTCTTCACAGCATGAGCGCATCTTTTGCAGTTCTAGTGTTTATGTGTGCCTCCTAGTTAAAGAAAAGGTCCAGGAAAACGAAATTTTATCAAGCCTTGAAACTTACTTTAGACTTCACCTAGTATGCCACCTGTTAGTGATATCTGGTATTGCAGTGTGCCTACATGCTATACCAGCCTTTCTAAACCTTTTTGTCATGGAGGAACCCTTGAAATAATTTTCTGGTCTCCAGGAACCCCTGCTAAAAATGGTTAAATCCACAGTTTGTGGTACATTTGTATCATCAGTAAGTTGTAGAATGTTTTAAGTAATATTATAAGCAATGTGATGTTTCTAGAGCAGGGTTTTTCAACCAGGATTCCATGGAACTCTAGGATTCCTCCAGAGGTTGCTAGGGGTTCCTTAAGCAATCAGCAATTTTTGCCTCTCAGATAAGTTCCCACTGACACCATTGATCTTTTTAGCCATCTGTAAGGGGGTAATCCTTCCCAATGTCCACAAGTGTAAGGAGCATTCTTCCCCACTGACCATCACACTAATGTATCATACCTTTTAAATATAGTAATTTTTAGCAGGGGGTCCCTGAGACCAGAAAGTTATTTCAAGGGTTCCTCAGTGTTAAGGTTGATAAAGGCTGTTCTAGAGTGTTTTAACACTACCAGCAGTATACCACAAAATTATTTCAATAGTAACCTTGAAATTAAATGAATATGGTATGATGAAATGAAATGCAGACAGTGAAAATTTTGTGTAGGAATGATCCCTTAAATTGGTAGTCAGTGGAAAATTTACATTTGCTTGTGGTAGATCAACTACGCTCCTTCCTATGCTCAAGGAACCCCTAGAATCCTCAGGAGGAACCCTGTGTGAGAAAGGCTGCACTATACAGTACTATCCTCCTCTGTCAGCACCACTGTAGCTCATCAGCTATACTTTAGTCCACCAAATGTGTGAAAGAGCAATGGAACCTTTTGTTTTCACATGAGTTGATAGTGGTAGAGCAACCCCTATGCTACTGAATAAATCCACAACAGACTTTTTTTTTCTGTTTTTCTCCAAAACCTTCCATAGTTTCTGAAGGAAATACAGTTTATTAGGAGAGTATTGTATAAGACCTAGTCAGAAGAATGAGGTATACCCCCCCAAAAACTTACATCATTTGGACATTGTTTTTCTGAATCTTCAATGAATTAGAAGTATTAATATGCATTGGAACTGCCTATTGGTCTTTTTTACCTGAATTGGGAAGCTTTTTGTCAGAGTACTAAAGATTTTGGTCGCTGCCTAAACATAATTCCTATCTATGTGATTTGGTTATTGATTGGAGGAATTAACAACCCGCACCCCGCACATGTCCCCATTTTGCTGAAACAGTCCTCATATCCTTACCTTGCAAGTGGTTTGTCCTAGATATGAATGTGCCTATGGCATAAAACAAAGTGACAGATTAGGAGAACTTTATCTTATTCTACATCTATAGGACCCACTGAGCTTGTTACAAGATTCCCACATTGCCTTATTGTAAATATGACTCTTCCAGTGCTTGGACCAAACCATTTTTATTCCTGGTTGAAGGTCGACCTCTTTTAAGGTGTGAAAAAAGGACTGTAAAACATTGGGTACATTTGACATATAAGAGGAAGATGCTTTTGCACTATTCCCCAGCTAGCAAAAATAGGGTGAATAGGTGATAGACATGTGAAGGTGACAATTGCCCATTGTGGCATAAAAGATGGATTGTTGTGAAATGTGGAAGTGGTTAAGAGAAAGTGGTTGGGCTCATCTACTGTCCTGATGTTGCTGGTGGAAATGTCAGGGTGCAGGCTGGTGAGTGGGTAGGCTTAGACAGCAAAATGGCTGCCCTGGTCTGAGAGATTACAACTACAATTTAAACAGCCTTTATTGTACACTGTCTCTGCAGGTACATAAGGAATACAGCAAATGTCTGAGACATTCGTACTGTTGTGTGAGGGGTCCAGGAGCAGAACACGGAACTTTGAAATCAACAGTTAACAGTCGATACTACACCCAGAGCCGTATTCGTCGGATGTGGAATGACACTGTCAGAAAACAGACAGAATCCTCCTTTATTGCCGGAGACCTAAATAGCACCCCGACTCTAAACAGAGGTTTGTACAACCACTAAAAGTCTGAGAAAGGTTCAGCTGAGGGATTTAGAGAACAACTTTAATTTTCTGACAAATTGATGTTTCGCGAGTCAGGACAGTGAAATTACCATTTGATCAAACTCTTTAGTATCCATAGGAAATGTTCAACTTTTTTCTTCTGATTATAGGAAAAGTTGCCTTCCACTAATACGGCTGAGTCTACAATAACCCATATAATATTAGAACATTTCCTAGAAAACACCAAGAGATTGTGTAAGGGGAAAAGATTCACAATAAATATTATATAACTTATTGATTCACTGGCTTGACTTGCAGTATTCTGTTTGTCAGAAAGTTGAACTTAGGCATTGTATTTAAAGATAGGCTTTACATTTCAATAAAAACAGGGCCTGACTCCTAATAGACAATCTGACTCTTGTTTACTGTCCTCCAAGGCACAATGGGTAACCACTTACTGACGAATCCTGTGCTGCAAAGCCGTGTAGGCACCAGCCCGTATAACACACTTATCACAGAGTCTGTGGGCTTTAGTCCATCCTCCCCTGGATACAACACCACTGGTGAGACATATTATATATTGTTATATATTAGACAGACATATATATATAATACAAAGTAATATGTGTATTAAAGCCAACATGGATTTCTACAGAGGCTCGTAGTTACCTGTGTACACTTGAATCTCCTAAACTGCAAGTAGACCTAAATGTATAAAATGTATTGCTATTGAGCAAGGAAACATTTTACATAATACCTTGATGATTTGAGTATTAAGACCCACTGACTTTAAAACACCCTGTTCTACCTTCTCTGCTGCCGCAATTATCATATGGTTTGGGGATGGCTCAGCCCCAGTTTGGGAGTATTTAACAGCTTTGTAGCTATGGCAATGTGTATGGGACTGTCCAGTGGCCATTGCCTGGTTTTGATAGGCAGCTGAGGTGAATTAAAAATGCGCTTCAAACATCTATTTTTGGCATCTGACAGTGGCCATGTGAATGGCGCCTAAGAGCTATATTGTAAAATTATTAGCACAAGAGTTTATATTAAAAATATCTAGCACGAGACTAAATGTATTGTAATTTGAATGGCCCATTTTGATTAAGCCCCACTTCAAGAATGAAATCAGCCTACTTTTCTGTGAGGTTGTTTATGTCTATTTTGGTCAAATTACAGTTTTCCATTCACTCAGCAAAGCCATATTTGATACCTAGTGAAATTTTCGTAAAACCAATATTTCATTTTGCAAAGTCATGTCATTTTACTAAACATGTGTGCACTATATGGCCAGAAGTTTGTGGATACCTTATTATCACATCTAATTGAGTTTGTTGGACTTCACGTTCCAAAACTACCGGTGTTAATATGAAGTTGTTTTGTTTCCTCCCTACTTAATCTAACTGGGCTATAGCAGCCTCCACTGTTCTGGAGAGACACGATTTTGGAGTGTGTCTGTGAGAATTTATACTCATTTAGCCAAAAGAGGTCAGGTACTAAGGTTAGACAAGAGGACCTAGCTCGATGTCTTCACTTTATTTCATTCTGAAGGTGTTGAGTAGAGTTGAGGTCAGAACTCTATGCAGGTCATTCAAGGTCCTCACCACCAAACCCATCAAACCTTGTCATTATGGACCTAAAATTGTGCACTGAAGCACAGTCATACAGAAACAAGGGCCTTCACCAAACAGTTGGCTCCTGGTTGGAAGCACACAGTTGTCTATAATGTTTTTGTAAGCTCTGACATGAACAGTACCCTTCACAAGAAAAATCTGACTACAATACTTGTGGCCATATAGTGTATATCATTTCTCCTGCAGAGCCATATTTCAGATGAGCCATAGATGTGATTGTGGAAATAAATTTGACCACTATTCAATCATTCTTTGGAGAAATTTAGGCATAAGTATTCACAATAGTTCCTGATTATCCAGAAAATTATTTTTTAGATGATCAAGTTTCTCAAAGACTTGTCAAACAGAGGGCTGCCTGTTGAGGTCACAGAATTTCAATAGTTATGCAGTTGATTCCCAATCCAAAACCACAGGATTGAACAACAGTCATATCTGTGTTCATTCTATAATACTGATCTAAATAATTTATTTTACAGATCTAAAAGACCATATGTGGCGCCCAGTATAATATTTAGTCATATCGTTACTCTTAGAAATATGCAGAACCAATGTAGTTCAAAAGCTACGTAGAGCAGCATTTATAGTGCCAAACCTTTGGTTGCATTAAAATGCAAGTACAAAGCAATACAATGAGCTCAGCATTAGCTGTCTCCCATCGTGTTTCCAGCACCATCTTCCCTCTTTCTCTCCACTGAGTCTTGCAAATCCTTATAGATCATTTCAGAAAAGCACGCATAGAGCAAGCATGCTATGTTATTTACAATATGCATGAAATAAATATATATGTAGATGTAGATAAATTAAGACTAAAGGTGGCCTCTGTATGTAGATGTAGATAAATTAAGAAGAGAGGTGGCCTTACTGACTGCTTCCTAACATATAATATGTTTGTTTCTCTTACTCCTCATCGCATTTTGCCATATAGTTTCCTCTTTTCTTTTCTACATCATCATATCTCTGTACCTTGAGTCTAACAATGTATCTCTGTCTGTCTTTCTTATCTGTCTTTCTTGGATCTTTTATGGTGGAAATACAGGAACATTTAGAGATCCCAGTAAGTGCCTTATTTAACCTTCCTAATATTCTACTACTGCTAATAGTTTATAACAAATGCAATCAGCACTTGTGCTCCAGAGAGAAAGAAAGTAGCCACAGGGTGTCACTTCACCAATGCAAGACTCCACTGACTACCACTGCACCAATACACTACTTCTTTGACCACTACACCAATGCACTACTCCAATGGCTACCACTATATTAATGAACTACTCCACTGACCACCACTACATTAATGCACTGTTCAACTTACTACCACTACATCAATGCACTATTTTATTGACTACCACTATATCAAGGAACTACTCCACTGGCCACCACATTACCAATGCGTTACTATACTGACTGCCACTACATTCACACACTTCTTCACTGACCACTGCGAATGTAATGGCAAGCCAAAAACTGCTGTACCATGTACGCCTTATTATAAGTTACATTTCCCCAGACTGCATACCAGTAGTAAACAAAATTAACTGTAATTTTAGTTCAGTTATCATTTAAACATAGCTGGAGCTCAAATTGAAAATATGAGAAAAAGTGTGAAAGCAATTGCTATATCCATTAAAAACCATGTCAAAACAATCAGTATATCTAGAAATTTCAGCAGCCACAGCTGATAGGATGCATTCAGGATGCATTTGACAGCCTGTACTTTAGCAGTAATCTTAAAGTGGTACTTAATGCTAGGATTTTTTTTTTTTACTTTAATGCATTTCTGTACCTCCCTGTACCCAAACACTTACCTGCAGTCCATTATCATTGGTGCTGGGTCCTGGGTGTTCACACTGCTTCCCCGAGCTTCCAGGTTTTAAATGTGGGTACAGAGGGCAGCAGAACCATAGGCATGTTTCTTGGAAGAGGGAACTGGGGTGTGGCTTGTCAGGTGCTGTGTTTGTCTATGGTTGCACCCGGCTAAGAAGACACCCACAAACAAGCAGGGGGCCAGTGGCTTGGGAATTGGCCCAAAGACAATCAAAGTGATCATTTTAAACAGAAAAACATCATTTATTGAAAGTTTTGCCCTCCTCTTAAAAAAAATAATACAAATGTAAGGGTTTAATAGCACTTTATGGTGTGTGTAAATCATAAGTATGAATTTGTCTTACTTAAGTATGAATTTTTCTTATTTGTGAATTTTTGGTCTGTTTAATAATCCATTGGAAGCATTTATTATATTTATTTGATAAAAAAAAAAGAACCCGTTGGTCTTGCCAGAATTTCAAAACTGTCCTGTGCATACTTTCTGTGTTATCCCAGAGTCTCTTAAGCCCTCCTATTTCTTATCATGGGCTACAGAATGTAATGGCCTTTATGTTGTAGAAATCTGAGAATGTGAGTGGCTTAGTAGTTTAGTAAAAGACACAGGACAGGGCTAACAAACTACACAAATGCTGTGTGTTGCGTGCCTACAACAGGACTTAAAGCTGATCGATAGATATTTACCTGCCCTTGTAAGTTCCTTAAAGGCATAAAACAAGAAGAAACATGCATGTATTTCAAATATATACTGCGCAATGTTTTTATTTTATTTTGCCTTGACATATACTTTAGCTTGTCCATTTTAAACAGAAATCAACATTAGTTAGTAGGAATATATCAGTAGCTGCATAAAGTTCTTTATGATCATTTCAAAAGTCAGCATATATAAGGACGAGTTGAAAAATAAATCCATCCAGCCAGGGCTGTTTTATGAAATGGGTAAAGAAACATTTCTTAAAATGTCCACCAGGCCCATTATGGTCCAAGACTCAAGGAGCATAGCCTGCTTTTCTCTGCATAAGTCCATCTGGCTGTTTCTGCAGTTGGCACAGTGATACCCTTAATCTCAAACTCTATGAACACTACTCTATAGGCAAAGTTTGAGAGGAAGGGTACTGCTGGATTTATGTGAAGAATTGCAGCCTATGCCTATGGAATCCAAGACTGTTAGGAGGTGCGGTGGTGGGTCTCGCAGCCCTGCATCCAGCATTTAAAGATTATGACTCTGATTTTTTATCACATTTTTTCTAAATGTGTGCTTCTTTATAGGGAACATGATACCAATTTCATACCCTAATGAATGCAGATCAAACTAATCCAGAATTGTGCCAACAGCATCAACATAGCGGGTCATATTAGCAGCACAAATACTGTTAGAAACTGTACTAGTGAATTGTTTCAACAACCATTTTGTGTGTTTAAATATTTTTTTAACCTGATGGCTCCTATAAAACAGTGCAGGTGTAAGTGTTCAGCTCTTACAAGTGTACCTGTTTGAAAGCTTAAAGTTCCATACTGGTAGAATAGGAAATATAGAACTGATATATTGGCTGAGGTAATCATTGCAAGGTTTTCATTGTTCTTAATCTTTATTTCACAGAACACACCTTAAGCCGAGATCCATGTGGAAAGGATGCCCTTCCTCCCCTACCGCTCAATGGTAACTTTAACAATAGCTATTCCCTTAGAGCTGGAGACTTCCCGCCTGATCCTTCCAAACTGGGTGACGGGGGACGTCGTAATATTACGGATGCTGCAGCATTTGAAAAGATGATCATTTCTGAGCTGGTACACAGCAACCTGAGGGGCAAGTCTCACCAGGGGACAACAGACACTGGAGATGAGGAGGTAACATCCGGGGCAATTGCAGAAGGTGGAGAAGTCCCCCACCCTGGAGATGGAGCGCATGTACAAAGCTTTGGAAGAACCCCTTCTCTTACAGCGAGCTCAGTCCATCTTGTACCAGAGTGACCTAGAGGAGTCTGAAGCTGAACCTGCCCCTCGTGACTCACCCAATCGCGACTCTCTCTACACAAGCATGACCAACCTCAGAGACTCTCCCTACCCAGACAGCAGCCCTGAACCAGGCCTGCCATCATCTGGGGAAATGTTGCCGTGCCACCAAGGGGTCCCCCCGCCTACAGCGGCAGATGCCATGTACTTCCCTGGCCGGCTGGGTTCAGTACCCAGAGGGCAGTTGCAAGCCTTCTACCAGATGCCTCAAGGGTTTTTGGGTCTAGAAGGGTCAGTACCCGAGGGTGACGGGCAGATGCAGCTCATCACCAGCCTCTGAACTTACTCGTCCACCCCTGGCACCAACTCCATTACTCCCCTACAAAAAGAAAATGAGAGATACTGCCTTCCCTCTCCATCTCAGAAGAAAGCAGGGTCATATGGTGGAAGGAAGTGGTATTTAACCAAGGGGCTATTTCAGTGGAGTAGGGGTGAGGACACAATACTGCCTTGGTCAATGGACTACTGGTGTTGATGGCAGGTATTATATGGGTTCAGTCTGTTTGGACTTCCTCTTGTTTGCCAACATCCATCTGAAAATTATGTATATTTCTTGTGAGGGGTACATACAGGTAGGGGTTTGGGTGCCAAATAAGCTCCTTGCAACATAACTATCTGCCCCAACAAGACCTACAAGAGTTACTGATACAATGATACAACCACCAGTCTGGTGCTGACATTTACAGTATTGCTGCAAAGCCAATTAAACAAAAATGAAAAATTACAGGCAGAGGTAGTGAATAGCCAACAGTAACTGTAGGCAGCCCTCTGTGTTAGCAACGCCAGGTGCAATGAAAGGATATATGCAGTGAAACTGGTCATTTATTCACGGGCAGGAATTAATTTCATGCTCTCAGTAAGAGGTGCCAAACAACCCATGGGCTTGCTGAGTAATAAGAAGGTAGAGGACGCAAATTGCCTAAGATAGTGAAATTTACCTTTGTATTTTTGAAATGTCACAGCTTACGATTTGCATTCCCGTAGAAGAGTAGAGGAGATGCAAACTGAACAAGAGTTTTCAGAAAGTTATATATTCAAAAAAAGCCACTTTCATTCACCACTGAACTTCTTCCTTGGGCCTTTCTAACAAAGTCCTTGGTGCCATCTTCTCTCTCCGCCCAAACCCCACTGTCTGCCTCAACAATGAAATCAGACTTTTTTTTGCCCGGTTCAGAAGAGCATGGTTTGTGCGTAAACGAAAGGAAGAGGAAGCTACCAGGGAGACAGGAACCGATGCCAGGAAGGTGGTAACACCACTTAAAAGATAAAGGCTGGGGGTGAAAAGGACCAGCTGCCCTGCATATTCTTTATTTAAGCACAAAACATCCCCCACCTCTGTTAACGGAGGACCATCTGAACTTTATTAATGGGGGAAGCGAGTGTCTTTTCCGACTGCTGTAAATAACGGACTTCTAAAGGGGGGGAAAGGGAGAGATGAGGGGAGATTCCTATACCCCTCTCCAGATAAATATCAGAGGTGTGGAAATGGTCAGTAGGGGGCATTTTTTTATTTATTTGTGTCAGCAGTGTCTCTTCCTGTCCAAAATCGCCACTGTGCCGTATTCTGTCCATTTCACTGCAGAATCATGAATGATCTTCACCAGTCCCAAAGATTCCGCCTTTGTGTTGTCAGCTACCTTGTTTGATTTCTTAAACACTTTTGTTTTTTTTTTTATGTATTTATTTTTCTGCATGTAGAGATCCAGAATTGTACAGGTTCTTCATATATTTGGTCATCTACCTGCCTGAAAGAAAAACATAAAAGATCAAGATTTTATAAAAAAAATATATATATATGTATATATACAAAGAAGAGCTTCTGTCATTAATGACCTTGTTCAAAGAACAGAATGGATGTCACAACGAAACGTTTTAAATCTAGAAAATAGAAAATATACTATATATATATATATATATATATATATATATATATATATATACACAGTATAGTCCCATAAGAATTTTTTCAAATACAAATACACATTAACCAGCCCTCTGCTGCTAAATAAAGGCCATGAATTCTAGGGAACAGTGCAATAAGGCATTGAACATGGGGTCACTTTAAACAATCACTTTAACAAGCCCCATGCTGCCTCAACAAAAAGTCAAGCATGGTGTCCGCTATTTTGTCTTACCACAGGTTTTCCTAGGTCATAGCCTTTCCCCTGTGGTTTCTGCACACAGCTAAAGCCAAAACCTATTTACTGGCATATATCAGCTTTATGTTTGCCCTGTACAGGTCTATAGATCTCTAAATGATTGGATCTTAACATAGTTACATAGATCTATGAAATGTGAATATTTGCCATTTGGAGTTGTAGTAGGTACAGAGGTGTAGATCCTAATGTAAAAGAGCTGCAGGGCATGTATTATTTTTGTTTACTTTCTGTTCATATGTTATTTCCTCAATAGTAAACCTCTTACATTTTCTTAACTGCTAATATTCAGGTTGATCTTCTACATTTTTGCATTCATGTGCAAATGTGGATGTGCAATGCACTGTCCATCTTCAGAAGCAAATTCCATCTGGTAAATAAACTAGCAAAATTGTAATTGTTGCCTAGTCACCAGGAAGAAATCATGTGGACAGTTCAAAGAATCTCAAGATGTTTTCTCGTTTATTAAACAGCACAGTTTTCTCATTGTGCTTCAGGGTTTTTGTTACCTAATGGAGAAAGCAGCCATTTTCAAACATTCAGGACAGGATTAAGCCTGATTGGTGCTAGTAGGAAAGGAAATCTGGTTCTTAGTACTGATAAGATGATACATCTGGCCTAGTCTGTGGGCTTCTTTAACATTCATCCTGTCAGTCCACTGGAAACTACTGAAGGATCCCTTGGAATATGAAATGGCTCCTTGCACAGTTTATGTCATGGCCTTGGGAACAGAGGCAGGTGTTAGGCCCCTGGTTGTGCCTGCTCCTCCCCACTATAATACTGGTAGGTAGTAAATAATTGAAGATGTAGGTAGTTGAGCCTGTGGTTCCCTATACCTAATAGCTACAGACACTAGATAGTCAGTGGCAAGGCATGAGAGTCATCTTTAACAGCTATAAAACCTTATGTCTGAGACTACGAGGCCTGCCCATAAAATCTGGGCCTAATCCTATTGATATCAGTGAGACAATGTAGTTAGTTTCCAGTGTGCAATTGACCTGCTTTCTCGAAAATATTACTTACATGTTGTACACTCACAGAATGGCTGCCATTGTACGGTATTGGTGACAAGACTGTATTACTATGTAGCCACATCCAGAAACTACTCTATTATTTGCAGTGATACTACAGCTACACAGGGACTATTGGTGGCTGTCATATATATTTTTTGTACTGCTAACACTGTGTGAAATTCCACTGACTGTCAAGATGGCTTAAGAAACTAATTTGCATGTTGCCCCAAACAGAACTCAGCACTTTCAAAGACTATTTTTGTCAAGCTTGTATCTCCAAAAATATATGTATACAGAATGAATATTTATGTAAAATCCCTTTTAAAATTATTTTAAAGCACCCCTTATAAAATATTGACATTAAAGACCAGTATATAATATGAGGCTCAACATGCCAATACGTCTCCTCGCAGGAGAAGTTATGATGGCTGGAGACTCAAGATTAAAAAAAACTTACGTCCTTGGAATTTTCTTTCATAATATCAGCGAGAGGTAGAATTGAACAAGTTATAATGGGCCTCAGCAATGGACTTTTGGGGAAAAAAAAATACTACTCTTATTGCCCGTAGTACCCAGCCACAACCAATGAGCATGGGGTTGGTCTACAATGGGCAAGAAGAGAAATTACTCTGTTAGCCACTTGTTCTCAGGCCCAGCACATCTATAGCGCATATTTAAGTTGTGTATCTGTTTTTTTGTTTTATGTTGTTTGTTGTCCACCACCACCGAACCCCATAGATTCTGACAAGAGCAAAGGGTTAAATACCTCCGCCCCCTCCTTTCCTCTCTCTCTCCTTCCTTCATTTTTTTTTTTCATATGCCAAAACCAGAAATGGGTCGAACGCCATTCTACAAGCGAACAAAAAAAAAATTGTCGTACGAAAGACTGAAACCATGTCGTACGTAGAAAAAAAATTACACAAAAAAAGGCAGAAAAAATGATGTTGAAAAAAAAATTAAAAAAATGAATATCGCAACTTGTGGAGTGAAAGAAACACACCAATAAAAACATTTTGATTTCTGAATGGTTGTCTTCATTGTGTGAATGATTTAGAACCTCTATTCAGCTGGAAGGGAGGGTGGAAATTTTAGTTATGCACCCTTATAAGTCACTTTTACTGCACCACACATATAGCAATATGTCATACCTCCCAACTTTCTAAGAAAGAGGGGCAGCTTTTAGCACATAGTATGCATGTAAAGGAAACACCCCGACACACCTTGTGTTACACAGACCATGACAAAATTAATACAGAAATAACAAGTGGTTCACACACATTACACAGTTATAGTCCACTGTTGTCATTATCAGGAACCTGCTCTAAGAAATGCCATGCAGTCATCGCCGGAATGTATGTAGACAGGAAGTGCCTGAAAAAGAATGCCTGCAGATCAGCTGCACTAAAATGCAACAGGGATAAAAAAAGAGTGAAAAGAAGTATTTTATTTTTTAAAGGCAATTGTTTAATATACACAGTGCATTACCATACTACACTATGTCATTCATTAAAGGTTTATATGTACTTTTTTATATATGTACTATACATTCATTTTTATAGCTTTCTTTACATCAGATGAAAAAAGAGGAATGGCTTAAAACATAGATGGGAGAGAGGAATTTGGTTCCAAAAAGCAGACAGTTCCTCCAAATGAAGGAAAGTTAGGAGTTATGAAAATAACTTAGAGAAGAATAAACTGTGTGGTCAAGTAAGAGCAAGCCCACACTGTCCAGTGTAGAGAATAGATCACCCGGTCAGATATCAGGGTCAATTAAAATGTTTCTAGAGGT